ATTGGTTGTCTACATCGCCATGGATTTAATTCGTGAAAATTTTCGTAGTATTATTTTCTACAACTTTAAGTGTAATTCAACAGTTCAGCGGAGCTTCAAACTGCTTTTGGCGATGAAGCACCATGCAAGACGACTATTTATAGCTGGTTTGCAGAATTCAAACGCGGGCGGGTGAATCTCAGTGACGAATGTAGTGATGGTCGCCCGTCCACTACTGTGAACAACAAAAACATCGATGCTGTGCGCCGTATAATCAAAACTGACAGGCATTTGACATACCATGAGATTCGGGCATCTTTAGGCATAGGCATGAGTCGAATACAATCAATACTACACAAACATTTGGGTGTGAAAAAGCTGTGCTCTCGGTGGATCCTACATAATTTGATTGAGGCTCAAAAAACGGATCGCGTCACTTGGTACAATGCCATGCTTACCAGATTCAACGAAGGGGCGTCAAACTTGGTGTGGAATATAGTAATAGGTGACGAAACATGGATTTATAGTTACGATCCCAAAACAAAGCAGCAATCGAGCGTCCCATACGCTCGATCTTTCGAGATGAGCCGAAACCAAACATAGTGGCGCGCGTGCAAAGTGCCTCTAAGCGGATGATTGCTTCTTTTTTTAATAAAACTGTCCAGTTTTATTAAAAAAAGTAGTAGCCACGTGTCCACGTGGCTACTGTTGCTTTGGAGGATCATTGTACCGCGAATAGTGATTGGGACACGACCATTTGTTTGCCGCAAGTTATTGATAAACTCCGTAAAAATAATCGTAAACCGTATCGTCTTGCACCACGATAATGCCAGTTCTCACACGGCCTGAGAGACAAATGATTGAAGGTAAACAACGTTGACCTTATGAGCCATCTCGCGTACATTCCCGACCTGGCACCTTGCGACTTATTTATTTCCAAAAGTTAACAACCAGTTACGCGGTCAACGATTTTCATCACCTGAAGAGGCTGTCGAAGAGTATGAAAAATATGTTTCAGAGATTGTCACGGAGGAGTGGCATAAATGTTTTCAAAATTGGTTCATTTGCATGAAAAAGTGCATTAACGCTAACGGAGAATATTTTGAGAAACAATAAATTCATTTCTGACCATTTATAGAATTTTTTCTTATTCATTCTGGAAACTGATAGTGCGTCTCACGTAGTAATCGACGTGAAGCTTAATAATATGTAAATAAAGGTCATTTGTTATTTATGGACACGTCTTCTTGGTTTAAGAATTTGATGGGAGTCACGACGGATCTAACAAACGTAAAAATAGTGAAGGAAAAGGGAACGACATACAAGAACGATTGAAAATTCAAAAACTAGTGGCCAGAAACCAGAGAAGCGATTGATAAAAATGTGGGATAACAATATTTAACTGGCAGGCGTCCTAGGGACTAATAATTTCTTTCATACACTTTATTAATTAAAAAAAATTGGTTGATTGAAACGCTGCTGCGAACATCTGTTCAGCTGTTTAAAGATCATGAGCTCTTTTCTCATTTAGTGTCACTTAATGTTGAACTTACCAGTTTCTGCCGCCAAGCAGTAAAGTGAGCATTACTGTGTTCCGGTTTTATAGGGTAAGGATGCTGGTGATTTTTTTTAAATAGCCCCGCACTAAGAAAACATTGTATCGCGGGTGCCATGAACACACACATAGACAACCACAAATTACATCCAAACTCACTAGAGAAATAGATGTAAGCCATATAGTAGCTGTAGAGCTCCTTATGAAAGAGTTCGTCACGGGAAGTACTGCCACCTTATCTGTATCTGCCGTGAAGCAGTAATGTGAGCATTACTGTGTTTCGGTTTTGAAGGGTGGAGATGCTGGTGAAATTAATAAAAAAAATAAAAAATAAAATACTTTTATTTCGGACAACAAGTTCCATATTTTGTTAGTAATAATAATAATAGAAAAAGAGCTTATAAACTAGTGTTAGTAAATATTTATATCATCATCAATTGGTTAAATCACCCTCCTTACGAAGCATTGCCACATGGGAGAGGTGATCCTACCAGCCACAATTTGTAGGATGCTGTTGGGGCTGTCCCGCACTCTGCGCATCAGGGATGCTGTCTTTTTTCGGAGGATGGCAGCAAAACCATCCGTCTCATATTCTGTAAACATCTCCGACGCACTGCAAAAACGAGGCAGCCCCAACATCATCCTAAAAATATTATTATATTATACACGTAGGGTCTCCAGTGGCCGTTTGGTGTAATTGATGCATAGGCTCCCGGTGTAGAAATTTTGACAATATGCTTTAAAAAGCGTTATTTTTACTTCTTCTGTGCACCGGGAAAACCTACGGATCAACATATTACCTCTTACCGCTAGAGCCCTACGCTCTCTTTCAATGTCGGCATTGTCTTTAAGGCCGTCGGTAACATAATGACCAAGGTATTTAAAAGAAGTTACTTTTATAATTGTCATGCCATTTAGGGTTATCGTTTAAATTACAGACACATGGGACTTGTCAACTTATGTATCATGGTGACGGGCACAGTGACAGCGCCCCTAAGATATTTGCGACTTAAAGCTCTGAGTGGCACTGCAACTGTTATGGATAGGCGTGTCGCTTACCAACAGGCGCGCGATTTTTTCATCCCGTCAATTGGTATTATAAAATAAAATATAGATAGATAGGATCACAGTCATGAAACGAATAGTTTATTTTACTTTCACATGTCAGATCGATTTCGAATTTGTCATACTATGGAAGCCCAACGACATTGCATTAATATGGTAAACTTAATCTGATTCTGCAAGTACCTGTAGTAGAACTACCGTGTTTGCGTTGTTTGGCCTTAACGAGTTGTTAGCTTACAGATGGTGAGTTTAGTGACCTTTACACTCTTTTGTATTGTTTTTTTTTTCAAGTATTATTCATAATTCGAAATGTCTATTAACGAATGTTTATATTTTTTGTTGTCAATGCGTAAAATTATGTAGAGTCGAAGTACTATCCGGAAAGTTGACTCGTTACTACCTAACTTCCCAAGTCTCAGTAAAATACAATGGGGAGTACTAAAAGCTCAATATAAATTAAAATGTACTAAATTCAAAAAGTCTGCCTCGAAACAGTCTAATACAATCCAAGTAAAACAAATGTAAATAAAGCTATTATAGTGTTAAAATAAGCATTAAGAAGGGAACCTAAATTATACAATCTTCATAGTAAAGAATTATACATTTTAATATTAGAACCTAATGTATAATTGCGATGCCTGAACTAAATAAATGTGTATTTTAGGCATCTTTTGGATTTGTCTTGAACTAAGTTTTTTAAGAGGAATATGAATTTTATTTTAGTTTTATATTTGAAATAGGTACCTAATTTTGTTTTATTTTTTAACTGCCGAACTTTTTGTTGTGGCCGAACAGTTACCGTTACGGACTGCCACGCAGAGGTCCCAGGTTCACGTTCAAGATACACATGCTATAGGTACTTTTGAATGTATATGTATACACGTACAATAAGTATGTTTACATTTGTATATCATATACATATTGAGTTCCTGGATTTTCGCTGTTCTTACACATTGTAAATGTAAACTATTATGTAAAATGAGAAAACTCAATGCAAAGATCTATAACAAACAAATAGAAGAATTTCCTCAACTCGGTTAACTCGACCTATAGCTCAGTTGGAAGAGCGATGGGTACGGAAGCCTTGGTCACAGGTTTGATTCCTGTCGAGTCGATATAATTTTTGTCCTAAAACGCGTATATTTGTTTTTTCAAACTAACGTTTCGAATTCTTAACCCTGGGGCCTGTTCCACGGTCACGGCTGGTCAGCCGAAATAATATTACCAATATTACCTACCCAATTATGCTTTTATTCTGTTCATTTATTAATTCATTCATTTTGCTATTAATATTTGTCGCTTGCATTATGAATTAATATTAATTATTCTTTCGCTGCGGATAAAAACGGAAGGGCTTTTGTGAGTGAAGCTTGTAATTAGTAAATAAGTAATATTTCTGTATTTTGGTCAATAAAAAAAATATCATCAACATCAATATCATCTACTTATTATTTGTACCACATCAGGGCACATGTCTTTAAGGAGAGGGTTTATCACAGAGAATGAATAATAAGTATTATTATATATAACTTTTTTCTCGAACTCAGGCGCAGCTTATACTCGTACAATGACAGTAAATTGGTATTATCGTCACCACCTTTGAAAGCTCTATATGGGTCTGCCATTGATATTATATTTCGCGTGTAATGTGATCTATGACATCCTAAGACGTTCAATGGAGGTTTTAATTATTTTTTATTTTAAGTAAAACTTGAGTCTCTCTCAGACAGGTTGCTGTGAATGGAATAATTAATAATACATTATACATTCGGCTGCAAGAGACCGCGGGACCGCGGGCCAACGGCGGACCTACAACAGCCCACGGAGCCGTGGTCGCGGCCGCGAGCCTATTCATTTCTTACAATTAATCAAGATTAAATCAAACCAGCTCGCACCGATGGATTTTAGACTTTCATGTCACTTGACTATTGTCTGATTTCGAACGCCGCGAAGTGCGAGGGGCGTGTCCGCCGCGAAGAAATCTGGCCAATAGAGTGCGGTAACAAAATATCCGTATTGGCTATTAGCAGGCCCCGCCCCTCCCACCCGCGCTACACACCCGCTTCGAGCTTTACATCCGAAAGGGCTGGTGTAGAGTACGGCTTTATACTCGGGTAGGCTCCTTTGGAAATAAGGGGTATGTTTGTTGATGAAGGACAAAAGGGCACAAGTGCTTTGCCGAGGGTAGTGAATTATGCTGATTCGTATCTAAAGTAGATTTAGACTGGTCGTGTCGGTGGCGCGAGGGGGAGGCTCGTTTTTAGGCGCGCGACGCGGCGCGCCCGCCAGACGCGCTCAGGTCGCCGCCGCGAGCGCTCATGTCGCGAAACGCCTAACACCCAACTTCACCATTTGCGCGAATTTTCCGCCGTCACGAAAAAATATTCCTCAATTCAACCCCAAAACGTTAGGTCTAATTTTCAAAGCTATTTCTCTTAGTTCTTAAAAGTGTAGCCTGGACGATTTATCAAAAGTGTATTTAGTCAAATTAGAGACTTAGAAAAATTTTAGAGTACCTAATTGAAACTACGACCTAAGTAATATTGTGATATAAATTATAAGAAGCTCAAGACTATAATGAGGCGAATCAGAAAGTAAAGCTGGGGGCAGACTATAGCGAAGCGAACGCTCAACTCGAGATGCAGGCTATGAGCGCAAACGCGAGTGCGCCGCGGGCGCCGCAACGGTCGCCATTCGCGATACAAGAGCTATTGGGCTTATCGGATAACCGAGAATCGCGAGAGCGATACTTTGAAAGCCGCGACACCGACCGAGTGTTGAACTTGTCGGAGAGCCGCGAGCCACGATCGGCATATACACCACAATTCCCGCTACCAGCATCAGTAGCCAGCAGAGTAGCGTATGCAGCAGCGTTCAACGCGCAAGCAGCTGTCGCCGCCGCCTTCTTACCTGGCCCGCCACTGCTGCACCCTCCACCGGGTAAGTGTTTACCTTAACGTTGTAAAAACGTTACAATAGACCCGGTAAATTTAGAAGTATGATTCTAATAAGAATTTTAACGTAATGTTACTAAAGACAATGAAGCGCGTTATAAATAGGGTGGAATAAAAAATTGGTCCCATAAACGGTGCGGGCGGCGGCGGCGCTATTGTGGCTTAATTAGCGATTTGCTCTTAATAATTAGCGTCTTGCGTCTTAGTGCTGTCGCGGGACAATGCGCTGCGCGCTTTGAGGTGCCGTCGCCGAAGCATATCGAGTTTCCAGCCCACACTTTCCTTATAAAATCTTTAGATTATAAAGATAAAGACACAACAGCAGAATTTTATTTATTTAATTTCATTGGAGAGCATTTGACAAGATTGACGCAAAAACTTGATTATAATCTATCTCATCCGATGTAGAGTTTTTTAACTAAATGTTTTTAAAAAATATAAAAACCCTTTTTTAGGTGAGTCTATATAGGTCTTTAGTGTGTCATAGTGTCTTTTTTATTATTCTAATCTATTGCACGAAATATAACGAATACTAGTTTGATAATGAAAATGAAGACAAGTAAAAAAATATATTAAGAAGAATAAAGAAGACAATATCAATTGACGGTAATATTTAATTTAATGTTGTTTACACAATTTTCTGTAACAAAATGAGCCTAAATTTATTAATTCGTTAGTGAAATATGCTACGTATTTACGTTGTGATAACAAAGGAAATCTTTTATTGGTTTGATCAAATAGTAGATGACATAAATCTATAAAGATATTGAGACAAATAGTAATTGTTTTATGAAAAGTAGTGAAAGACATAACATTAATGCGAGGAATAAAAATAAACAGTCTGTGCTTGACAGTCATCTTCACAAAGTCACAAATTCATTTAAGGGACAATGTACTTATATGCTTCCATAATAAGATTCTGGTTGATATTCAAAATTTGCCATTCACAAGGTTTAAAACTATAGTGAATTAAAAATTGTATATAGGAAATGAAACTATTTTTCCGGATTTAAATTGCGTATATTTGTTTTTTCAAACAAACCAACGTTTCGGGCCCTTTACAGGTCCCACGGTCACGGTTGACGGAAAAACTTTATACTATTAATTTATTGTACAGTTTCTGCGTACTTGGATGAAAAAAATCCGTGGGAGTGACCCGTTTAGTTCAGTTTGTCTCGATATTTGAAATAAATATTGTAAAGTATAAATGTGTACAAATGTTTAATTACAACGAGCAATCCCTAGAGTTTCTTGCTCATTCTTCTTAGGGGAATCTGCCTTATGAATAAGCAATAGAGTTCAATCTATATGACGACCTCCGTGATCGACTGGCTTGCGGTGTACAAAGGTTTTCATGGTGTCAGCATCTCTGAGGTCCCGGTTTCGATCCCGGCCGGGTCAGTGTAGAAAACTAGTTTTTCTATATTATCTCGGGTCGGGGTGTTTCAGATACCGTCGCTGTTTCCGATTTATATAACACAAGTGCTTTAACTACTTTGGAATCAGGACAACGTTTGTAATGTTATCTAATATTTATTACTAACCTATTTCAAAAAAAGGAGGAGGTTCTCATATCGGTCTTGATGATTATTTTTTATTGGAAAGAGGATACCTCAGTATTGGTCCCATTTAAATTTGAAGAAAATATTCCACCTCTAAGGGTAGCAAACTAGGGGATGTTTCCGGTAACCGATTTCAATAAAACTTGGCAAATAGGTAGATGTAACTGCACGAACTTATGAGGTCGGTTTTTTAATAAAAATGTTACAATTATTATAATGATGGTTTCAGATGTAATTGACTTACCTGTGAAATAAGGATTGAGTCTGAGGCTTGAGTTGCGAGAACGAATGTGGACGGAAACCTGAAAAGAGCTTGACATTAAGATAACCTTTTATATTATTATATTATATCTTCAAAATCGGATAACTACGAATTTAAAACATTAGTATTTTGGTTTTGACTTCGTTTAACTACTATAATAATGATAGTTTGTCAGATAATCACTTTATCTGGTCCCAAACTACACAATTCTTTATATTATGAGTACCACAGCAACCGAATTAAAAAAATATGATTGAATGATCGTTTTTATTACACAAACACTTATTTTAAGTACATTTTAGATTACTGTACTTATTATTCCATTACCTGTTCTGAAACTAGGACGGGGTACTACCCAGGGTGCCCAGATCACATCCAATTTAGAAAAGTTCCTTTCCCAAATTCATCCTACCGGGTAACGAACCTGAGACTTCCTCATCTAGCGCCCATAGAGCAAACCATTGAATCACTCAGATTGCCAAAAGGTAATGAATAGTTAGGGTTACTTAGTTCAATAATCTAGGATCTTGTTTAGTCGACAACCTCAATTGCATTTGTTACCGACTACAACTGACTTGTTTAAAATTTGAAGTCGCGTTTTTATTAAATTTCATACAAAATACTTTTATTATCTTTGTAAAAACTACAATAATAACGGAAAAAATGATATAGTATAACTTTCTGTTTCATGTACAATAAAAAAATTGTAATATGTAATTACGTTATTTTGTATTTGTTTTAAGAAATGCCTTGAAATAAGATGTTTGTGCAGTAAATTGTAAATTAAACAGTATAGTGGTGCTACAGTTAAAATAAGCGTAGCTAAATTTGCTGCAAATTTTGTGCCGTGCGACATCTGCCGTCGGCAACCGATTTTGCAAAATTTTACCTAATTGTTCAATATACTGCGTTTTCTTTTCCTTCTTTTTTGTCTTCTAGCGGTAAGTGTTCTAAATAGCCACCTGCGGATAATAATAAAAAAATACATTGACTGATAAGTGCATTGTATAGTTCTAAACAGGAACAGAACAATTTAAATTGAATTTTAGATTTGTGTGGACATTTTTAAGTTCAAAAGTTACGGGATACAATATTAATTTATGCAACGTATATTAGTTACATATTTATGTTAGTTACATTTTATTGTACTATAATGTTACCTACTTTTGCATTTTAATCATAACTTAAAGTTACCGTCACAACTTGCTTAACAACAACAAAGACGATAAGAAGTCTAATATCTACTTACCTATACCTACATATAAATATACTATAGAGACTACTTCCTAGTTCTTAGTGAAAGAGTACGTCCGGGGAAGTAGTAAGTAAGAAGTGCCACCTTACCTATTTCTGCCGTCAAGCAGTAATGTGAGCATTACTGCGTTTCGGTTTTGATGGATAAGGGTGTGGTCAAATTAAAGCACAAGGGACTTGTGTTGTTGTCAACTTATGTTGTGTTGTTGCCAACTTATGTTGAGACATAAGTTGACAACAACACCACCCTGTGGGGTGACGGGTGCAGTGGCAATGCTACTGAGATTTTTGCGATTTAAAGTTCTGGGTGGCATTGCAACTTGGATAGGCGTGTCGCTCACTACGAAACGCACGAGTAGTTCTTCCCGTCACTTTATATCGTAAAAGAAAATAGAAGATAATAAAATATCTATAGAATTTAATTAGTCACTAACATTTAAGTTTGGTTTTCGGAACAATAATTAAGAAAATTGTAGTGGCTATAAAGTGCAAAAAGATTACTTTTCTTCATGTACGCTTATTACGGTTACATCTTTGTTTGTATTCTTAAACAGAATGAAATAAAACCTCAAACTTAAATTTAAGTTTTAATCGTTTAAGATGTGATAACTATTAAAACCAATATCAAAACCATAGCATCTGCTACACAAAGCTGTTAGCGACAAAAGCTGTCTCTAAACAATAGGTGTTCAATAATACGTTTAACCGGCTGCGCTTGCGCCTCGGCCGGCGGAGCGTCGCAGCCAATCAACATTCAAATTATTATTAAGCACATTGGTTTAAATTAAACGGTTTATTAAACATATGAGTAAATGATTGAGGCCTAAGATGGTTTGTAACTATCTATTCCAACAAAAATTTAAACTTTAAAACAAAAAAGTAACTTTACAAGACACGTTTATTTATGATTATGAATACAAAGATCGAACACACAGAAAAAAAGACGAAAAAAACCAGGAAAAATTTTTGTCATTGTCAAAATGTTAAATTAAGAAAAAAAAAACAGTATTACCTAGGTGTTATTCCACTTCTTATAAGGCGTATCACGCAACCTATGGTGTTTCTAAGTCCTGTAGTTATAGAGTTTCTTTATTGTGTATGAATCAACATATTTATTTACTCGATTGCAGTGTAGCCAAAATGAGGAGCAATGTTTTTCACGTGTATGTATATATGTACGGTTTACAACCGCACATTTTTCTTCCGCTTACCTTGCGCTCTACTTTGTGTCCTACTGTCCGTGGCCTACTGTCCGTGGCTTACATACATTACATGGGCACATAAGTAGGCAAGTAATTTTAGTGTTAAACGAGCATTCACTTCATCTAGACATCTTGAGTGTTTATACATTCATTCATATATCTTAACGTAACAACAACGTAAGAGATACACATCCTCAACGAGGCTTGTATCTTCTTACTTTATTAATAAACTTTATACTTTTATCATCTATCAATTTAAACAATTAGGCGTCAATACTATAGCGTAGTATTGGCCCCTACAATATAATTAATACATGTATGTTCCTATTTGCCGCCCAAATGTTTCTACCGCCTATATATACAAACAATTCGGTGTTGATAAATTTGTGGTAACATCTACAATACCACCCTTCCCGTGAAACGTGTAAGTAGGTATATACATGTTATGATATCGCAGGGTAACAAGACGTCAAAACCAATGTTTAAAGATAATCACGATATATATAATAAAAATCCTTGAAATAATCAAGTTTAAAACACTATTTACAAAATGCTTTTAAGTTTGAAAACAAGATTCGTTTAATCTCGTGTTCAATTGACATAGAAATGACATATTACGTTCTTTTGTTTTAAGGTTCTTTCTTACCATGGTCATTGATCCGCCTCGAGCTTTTTCTGTTCTGTTATATTAGTAGTTTTCGAAATT